GTTGGGGATTATGGACTCGTCACACCTCAGCTGCTTGCTTGCTTGCTTCCACACACACACACACACACACACACACAAACTTGAGCCACCATTGGGTGATCACTGAGTCAGAAGAGCCTTTCTACCAATCAGCAGGTTTAGTCAGGGGTTCCCAAACTGTTTCACTCAGGCCCCCCTTTTAGCATTGGGGAACATCACGCCCCCCCCCCTCCCCCTGCGCATCACTGTCCTTCTACACTACAGGGCTTCTGGGAAAAAAACTGATGATGTCACCCAGCCTGGTCAAGAAGAAAGATAACTGCAGTCCTCCTGGCTTAGCAGGATCACTGGCCAGAGGGACACAGGCCAACACACAGACAAAAATGTGCGCGCGCAGACACACACATACACACACATCTGCTGTCAGTTTTTACTGCTCTTATTCCTTCAGCCTGGCTTGGGAGTGCGTGTGTGTGACTTTGACCGGAGGGTGGGAGGGCGTGGCTGGTTGGTTGAGCAGGCTGGCTGTCGATGCACGGAGAGGGGGCACAAAGACAAACAGAACAGTGCAGCAGGAGCTTCAACCTGTACCCATGGCCACAGATTGCATAACACATGACACATAAGCCACGTTGCTAAAGTACAATCGAGCTTGTGTGTGTCATACCGTAACCAAATGTAAACCCTCTGTGTGTGTGTGTGTGTGTGGTCCCAAGCTCATTTCATTATCCCTTGCTAGCCGGGAACCTTTGTTATCATTTCAGGGTTTCCAAATGAAGCCCTTTTTGACCAAGATGGGCCTGGTTCTTCACCGTTTACTATGTTTAGTAGAATGTCTTGTGTGCAGTAGGACTATGCTTTATGCATTAATCAAGTGTTCTGGACTGTGGCTAGGGTTGACTAATAAGAGAGCTTATGTATTGTAAGAGAGCACTTGGTAAGAGGACTCCATATCCTCCTATTATAAGCAATACGAACATTTTGATGTGCAGGTGTATGGTGGTTGGTTATTGGTTCTGTCTTTTTCCCTCTATACCGAACAAAAATATAAAACGCAACATGTAAAGTGTTGGTCCCATGTTTCATGAGCTGGAATAAAAGATCCCAGAACTGTTCTTAAAGCTTATTTCTCTCAAATTGGGTGCACAAATTTGTTTACATTCCTGTTAGTGAGCATGTCTCCTTTGCCAAGATAATCCATCCACCTGACAGGTGTGGCATATCAAGAAACTGATTAAACAGTATGATCATTACACATGTGCACCTTGTGCTGGGGACAGTAAAAGGCCTCTAAAATTTGCAGTTTTGTCACAACACAATGCACATGATGTCTCAAGTTGAGGGAGCATGCAATTGGCATTCTGACTGCAGGAATATCCACCAGAGCTGTTGCCAGATAATTGTATGTTCATTTCTCTACCATAAGCCGTCGTTTTAGAGAATAAGCAGTACTTCTAACGGGCCTCAGAACCACAGACCATGTGTAACCACGCCAGCCCAGGACCTCCATATCCGGCTTCTTTACCTGCGGGATTGCCTGAGGCCAGCCACCAGGACAGCTGATGAAACTGAGGAGTATTTATGTCTGTAATAAAGCCCTTTTGTGGGGAAAAACTCATTCTGATTGGCTGGGCCTGGCTACCCAGTGGGTGGGTCTGGCTCTCAAGTGGGTGGGTCTATGCCCTCCCAGACCTACCCATGGCTGCGCCCCTGCCCAGTCATGTGAAATCCATATATTAGGGCCTAATGAATTTATTTGAATTGACCGATTTCCTTATATGAACTGTAACTCAGTAAAATCGTTTAAATTGTTGCGTTTATATTTTTGTTCAGTATAGATGTTCATTCAACTGGGGAGGGTAGGCGGCCTATATAAAACATCATGAAACTAAAACGGGTTTCGATTTAAATTGTGTTGTGGGCGTATATACAAACGGATTATATTTAAGTGGGTGTGTATGCGCGTCATCGAAAGAGCAAGGGTGGTTTCAGTCAGCCTCCACGCGACCCCTGAGCGTTCAGTCTACTACCATTAGTATTATTACAGAGAAATAGACCCTCGTATTATATTTGGATACATTTATCAAATCTCACGCTATTTGTTCAGCAGCTGACCTGACAATAGCCTATGTGTTTGTCAGTGGTGAACACTCGGTTCAGGTCAGGATATTTTATAGTCCCCGAGTTACTCGCCAGCCAAAATGAAATTGGTTCGATCCATTATTGGTGATTGCAATTAGGCAAGCTGTCAAAACCGATGCCTCGTCACCATTCGCTAGGGGGGCCTCAATGCACCAGTCGAATTTGGCAAGCAGCGAGTTGGATCTTAAATCGGCTTAAGTCAACTACTGTAAATCAAATAGGCTGCTGTGATCCAGACAAAACAACAGTGCGTCTGTTTTTAGGATGTCCCACCTCTCACGTTCTGTAGGCTACTCTTTGTGTGCCCAAAATCGCTGAGTTTACACAACGCGCAGTCAGTTCACCTTCATGCATGCGCTTTTCATTACACTGACAGTAAGGGAACAATGCTGGAATTCATGGGAGGGAGGGGAATGTGGGAAAAACACAGAACAAAACATAAACGTTTGGCTACAATAGCCTAGGCGACATACCTGCATTGCCGTAAGATGTAGCCAAGAGCCATCCTACACTTGCGCATATTTTTGCCCTGGTACAATCATACAGATCCAAAGGTTTTATGTCCGGGACTACAAAAGTCTTCCTCATCGCGTTGGAGTCCACCATAGCAAGTCCGCAGACAGGCCGTGATAACGGGAGGGGATAGAGACCTAGAAAATAGTTGGTGGCGAAAGAAGCAGCTTCAAATCAAGCCTTCATTCTTTTATTTTTCCTATTCCATAACACTGGAGGCGAGGAACACGGATGTGGGTTAAGAGTTTTCTCAGGAAATATCCAGACACTATGGGCCCCAGCTCAGGATATATCCCGTTTCTCTCCTGATTCCACACCCAAAAAAATTGGTCATACGATGAAGGAGCGCGGTCTTAAATCCCTACAGAAGCCCCCAACACATCGGGTTATAAAAAAAAAATAAAGGCGTATTAATTCCCGTTTCGCCGTCCACATTGCTAACGTTTGGTTAGCGCTCTACAGTAGGCTACAGAGCCCCGCCGATGACTGATTTCCAGGTGCTCCACAATGGCATCACTCACTCAGCCGACTGGCCAATCGCGTTTGAGGAAGAGTGAAGGGGCGGGATCTCAGTCGTGTGAACGCGACCAGCAGGTTGAGGTATGATGACAGCTCTCAAGACAGGTGCATTAGGTAGGTGGAAATTGCCGTGTTGGGTTGAGCAAATAGCCTACAGGTGGTTTCCATACGCTTGTCTCCAAAAAACAAAAAGTAGCCTACCAAATTATAAGCAACTTTTATCAACATAAAAGACATGGACTGCCACAAACCTCCAAATTGTACAAAAATAAACGTGAAATAGGAGACTAGGAGACTTTTTACAGAAAACACAGAATTCTCAGCGGGCACACAGATCTCCCAATCACATCACATGATGGCCTTGAAAGTTCCAAGAGCTCTCTCAGCGTCCCTCAGCAGTAACATTGTGGTTTCAGCGTCCCAAATGGCACCCTATAAGGCTCTGATCAAAAGTAATACACTATGTAGGGGATAGGGTGTCATTTGGGACGAACCCTGAGAGGATTACCTCTCAACATGTTTTAATCTAATTATGGAAGAGAACGTTAAGGCCTATTTCGTTTCTGTTCCAGGGTTATTCATTTCTCTGAATAACAATACAAACTAATCTATCAGTAAAAAACTGGTTTAAGGGTTAGTTTAGCTGGAAGTGTAAATTATATCACTTCAGGCTACAATACACAATATACTGCTCAGATCCAGTCTAGGATGCCACGTATGTGTTCCTAATTCCTAAGAATCGTTGAACGCCAGCTAGAGTGAGTGCTAAACAGTTTTCAAAATCGAAACAATAAGCCAGGGAGCATGTATAATGTGGCTCTTGTTGCTTACTACAACTCCCAGCTCCAGTATCAATGAAATATTCCCTATTCACCCAGCATAACTCCTCCCTCTGTTTTTCTAGGGCAGGAAACTCCCCTTTCTCTTTCTGCAGCAAAGCACTGCTGCACAGACCTGTCAGTCATGGTGTTGGACTTACAGTAAGAGTTATGTCAGCAGTTTACACATCAATTTCATAGAACCACTGTGAACAGATTCATGTCATGCGGGTTGAAATAATCGCAACGCCAAACTTGACATCAAGAAAAAGACATACAACACTGTAGCAAACAGTGATTAACTTTAGAAAGAGTGCCACCAATGCTAGTTTTGCTTTAATGCATTACTACATCAAGGAGCATTTGTAGAAGGGGCGGCAGGCAGGTAGCTTAGTGGTTAAGAGCGTTGTGTCAGTAACCGAAAGGTCGCTGGTTCTAATCCCCGAGCCGACTAGGTGAACAATCTGTCGATGTGCCCTTGAGCAAGGCACTTAACCCTAATTGCTCCTGTAAGTCGCTCTGGATAAGAGCGTCTGCTAAATGACTAAAAATGTAAAAATGTAGAAATAAATAACAGGAAGCGCTGCTAGGATACACTACTAGTAGATCTTTGTAGGTCAAAGGCGCTCTTTGGTTAAGGGGTTAATTTTAAATAAATAACCAGGAGGACCAAGGCCCTCTTTATTATGATACTGTAGCATGTTCAATAGAACAAAATCTTAACTACCTGACAAAAGTCATCCCAAAACACTTCAGAGATTTTTACGATTTTGTTCTATTGAGCGTGCCATCGTAATTTAAACATTTTATCTTTATGAAGCATGCCTTGGTCCTCATGTTTAGAAGGAAAAGGAGCATTTCAATTGTTTTTAGAATAAGGAGCATTTACATTTTATTCACAAATCTCATTTTTATTCACTGATCTGGTGCAGACTTGACAATCTATGAATGTAGAGCAAGAACCCTTACAGTCGACAAAGTTCACATTCTATTCTCATCATACATTTTACAGGGGTTGAAAAGACTCCATCAGTGGACCAGGGAGCTCATCTGTGATGTCACATCTGTGGGACAGATATCATCCTGTATTCAATCTTCCCCTTCTTTCAGCCCTCCAAAGACAGCAGTGGGGACGCTCTTCTGTTCCAGCTGCACCTCTGTAGAGAGAGACAAACATAATCAAAAACACACATTTACATGAACACCATGGCTGCGTCTCAAATGGCCCCCTATCCACCTTTGACCAGTTCAAAAGTAGTGCACTATATAGGGGATAGGGTGCCATTTTGGACACAGACACCACTCTAAGTAAACAGGTCACAGGCTTGTTGCAGCCATCATGCTGTGCTGCAAGGCATCTCTCGCTCTCTCAAAGTATGTGGACACCGGCTCGTCAAACATCTCATTCCAAAATCGTGGGCATTAATATGGAGTGGGTCCCCCCTCTGCTGCTATAACAGCCTCTACTCTTCTGGGAAGGCTCTCCACTAGATGTTGGAACATTGCTGCGAACACTGATGTTGGGCGATTAGGCCTGGCTCGCAGTCGCTGTTCCAATTAATCCCAAAGGTGTTCGATGGGGTTGAGGTCAGGGCTCTGTGCAGGCCAGTCAAGTGCTTCCACACCGATCTCGACAAACCATTTCTGTATGGACCTTGCTATGTGCACGAGGGCATTGTAATGCTGAAACAGGAAAGGGCCTTCCCCAAACTGTTGACACAACATTGGAAGCACAGAATTGTCTAGAATGTCATTGTATGCTGTAGCGTTAAGATTTCCCTTCACTGGAACCAAGGGGCCTAGCCCGAACCATGAAAAACAGCCCCAGACCATTATTCCTCCTCCACCAACCTTTACAGTTGGCACTATGCATTGGGGCAGGTAGCGTTCTCCTGGCACCCGCCAAACCCAGATTCGTCCGTCGAACTGCCAAATGGTGAAGCGTGATTCATCACTCCAGAGAATGCATTTCCACTGCTCCAGAGTTCAATGGCGGCGAGCTTTACACCACTCCAGCCGACGCTTGGCATTGAAAATGGTGATCATTAAGCTCCCGACAAACAGTTCTTGTGCTGACGTTGCTTCCAGAGGCAGTTTGGAACTCGGTAGTGAGTGTTGCAACTGAGGACAGACACATTTTTAAGCGCTACACGCATCAGCACTTGGCGGTCCCGTTCTGTGTGCTTGTGTGGCCTAGCACTTTGCGGCTGAGCCGTTGTTGCTTCTAGACGATTCCACTTCACAATAACAGCACTTACAATTGAACGGGCAGCTCTAGCTGGGCAGAAATTTGACAAACTGACTTGTTGGAAAGGTGGCATCCTATGACAGTGTCACGTTGAAAGTCAGAGATTTTCAGTAAAGCCATTCTACTGCCAAAGTTTGTCTATGGAGATTGCATGGCTGTATGCTTGATTTTATACACCTGTCAGCAACGGGTGTGGCTGAAATAACCAAATCCACTAATTTGAAGGGGTGTCCACATACCTTTGTGTGTGTGTGTATATATATAAAAAAAAAATTAACCAGCAAGGCTACCACAGCATTCTGCAGCGATACGCCATCCCATCTGGTTTGGGCTTAGTGGGACTATCATTTATTTTTCAACAGGACAATGACCCAACACACCTCCAGGCTGTGTAAGGGCTATTTTACCAAGAAGGAGAGTGATGGAGTTCTGCATCAGATGACCTGGCCTCCACAATCCCCCGACCTCAACCCAATTTAGATGGTTTGGGATGAGTCGGACCGCAGAGTGAAAGAAAAGCAGCCAACAAGTGTTCAGCATATGTGGGAACTCCTTCAAGACTGTTGGAAAAGCATTCCTGGTGAAGCTTGTCGAGAGAATGCCAAGAGTGTGCAAAGCTGTCATCAAAGCAAAGGGTGGCTATTTGAAGAATATAAAATATATTTAACACGTTTTTGGTTACTACATGATTCCATGTGTTATTTCATAGTTTTGATGTCTTCACTATTATTCTACAATGTAGAAAATAGTGAAAATAAAGAAAAACCCTTGAATGAGTAGGTGTGTCCAAACTTTTGACTGGTACTGTATAGATATTTATTTTGTATTTATTATTATTAGGATTTTCAAGAAAACAGCTGGAACATATTCAATCAAGTGAAACATTCAAAACATTGCAGATAGAAATGTAATGTATAGAGTTGGCAATGTTTCTATATTCTATGACAGAATAACCTTCTGTATCTACACAGTCCATTTCTATGTGAATCTTCTATAGCGTTGCTCCCTCCTGAACAGCCCCCCCCCCGGTGGTGTTGTAACTTACCCTCTGGGCCCTGGTCTTCATCATCACCATCACCATCCTCATCATCAATATCAATCTCATCAGGGTTGGCTTGTTTGGCCAGTTCAGCCAGCTCGCTGCGAGACGTGTCACTCCTAAACAAACAGATTCACAATGATACACAGTGGTTAAGACCAGTATTTCTGCATCGTTGTGTTTATATTAAATGGCTGGCCACTTCCTGGGCCCGTATCCACAAAGCGTCTCAAAGCAGGAGTGCTGATCTAGGATCTGTCCATATCATCTTATTCATTATGATTTAAAATCCTACATCAGTACTCCTATTCTGAGACGCTTTGTGGATTCGGGCCCTGGTCTGCAGTTGGGTTTTTCAGAGGTCAGTGGAAAGGATGCTAAATGTGTGGGTGGATGGGTGAATGACAGACCTGACGAAGAGGATCTTCTCTTTGAGTTTGGGTTTGTCCTGTTCAGCCTCGGCGGCCAGCTGTTGGGCCTGCTGCTCCAACAGCTTCATATCATCCAGCCCCATCTGGCCCGGGGCAAGGTCTGAGACTGCACACACATAGAAGAAGAGCGTTAGATACAGAGGTACACCCTAACCCTGAATTAGCCCTAACCTACCCCCATCTGGATTGTGTTTTTCATGAAAAACATCTACAGCTGTAAGCATGACACTTCAAAATCATGTTCGAATCAACATGGGAGATTAATCAATCTTTTATAGGAAAAACATATCATGCTTGATAACAAGGTTGTGTGTCATCATTAGAGACCGAAGGTGTGGGAAGGTGTGTGTGTGTGTGTGTTTGTATGCATGCGCGTGTGTACGTTCTTACTGGTGCCGGTGGCGTTGGTAGTGGCCTTCATCATCTGTGAGGACATGAAGTTGACCTGTGTGTTGTACGTGGCCTGGACGCTGCGCTTGATCCTCAGCATCTCACGGATCGTGTCTTCGTTCCCGTGGCGGATCTCAAACTCCTTCCATGTCTGCCAGAACGTGGCCGTCATCTGAAGCAAACACACACACAGGGAGTAAAACGTTTTATCGCTACTGAACACGAACCTGTGTTTCCACCAAATTGAGGAAAACGAACTGAAACAGGGAAGGACTACGTGGATTGTCCAATAAGAACAGCTCGTTTTCCGTTCAATAACGTTTTCCTACAGTGTGCGTTACAGCTGGGACGATAAACCAGAAATGATCGACACCGACCATTCCAATAACTTATCGCAGGCATTTTGCTTATATCATTAATTACAATAAGTAGCCTGTGAAGTTTGAAATGAAATACGTTTGCTGAGTGATTGTTAATGGGACAATTGATGGCTACAACCATCAAACTAGTGGTAGCACATTAAAATGTTATAAATGTATCGCTCTGTTTATTGTTTATCGCATCAATTCAGGCAATTTTTTGCCAATACATTTTTAACCTTACATTTTAGTCCTTTAGCAGACGTCTTAATCCATAGCGACTTACAGACAATTAGGGTTAAGTGGTGCCTTGCTCAAAGGCAGCGATCCGACAGATTTTTCACTCGTCGCTCGGGGATTATAACCAGCGACCTTTCGGGTACTGGCACAACGCTCTTACCCACTAAGTTACCTGCCGCCAATACGGATTTTTGTCCATATTCCCCAGCTCTAGTATGCACTAATGAACAGGACCATGGGTCAGAGTGTGAGGGCTCACCCTGGGGTCACAGATCTGGGAGCAGTAGGAGTAGATGGCTCTGGCCCGGTCGATCTCGCCCAGTTTGCTCTCCATGTCAGCGAAGCGCAGGCACATGTCCCTGGAGTGTTCGTCTGGAAGCACCTGGAAGAAAACATATGATATTATATATTGGAATATATTAATTGCATAACCATATACACCATCTCAATAAATAAAAATCACATGATTAATTTAGGAGTGTCAAACTCATTTTGACACAGGGGCTGCATTCGTTCTTCAACGAGGTCCGGAGGGCCGCACTGAAAATGTGTTGTATTTCCTCGCCGTTAGAATTAGCAAAGAATTGTCCAATATCCATCTAGCTTTAATTTAGGTGATTATTAGTGAGCTGGAGATGAATGTAGGTCCCTTATAATTTTTACACCGTTTCTATTTGGTTTTAGTCATTTTAAAGTATATTGAGTTTGTTTCCCACCCAGTAAAAAAATAAATAATAATTATTATATATAATATACACTGCTCAAAAAAATTAAGGGAACACTAAAATAACACATCCTAGATCTGAATGAATGAAATAATCTTATTAAATACTTTTTTCTTTACATAGTTGAATGTGCTGACAACAAAATCACACCAAAATTATCAATGGAAATCAAATGTATCAACCCATGGAGGTCTGGATTTGGAGTCACCCTCAAAATTAAAGTGGAAAACCACACTACAGGCTGATCCAACTTTGATGTAATGTCCTTAAAACAAGTCAAAATGAGGCTCAGTAGTGTGTGTGGCCTCCACGTGCCTGTATGACCTCCCTACAACGCCTGGGCATGCTCCTGATGAGGTGGCGGATGGTCTCCTGAGGGATCTCCTTCCAGACCTGGACTAAAGCATCCGCCAACTCCTGGACAGTCTGTGGTGCAACGTGGCGTTGGTGGATGGAGCGAGACATGATGTCCCAGATGTGCTCAATTGGATTCAGGTCTGGGGAACGGGCGGGCCAGTCCATAGCATCAATGCCTTCCTCTTGCAGGAACTGCTGACACACTCCAGCCACATGAGGTCTAGCATTGTCTTGCATTAGGAGGAACCCAGGGCCAACCGCACCAGCATATGGTCTCACAAGTGGTCTGAGGATCTCATCTCGGTACCTAATGGCAGTCAGGCTACCTCTGGCGAGCACATGGAGGGCTGTGCGGCCCCCCAAAGAAATGCCACCCCACACCATATATATATATATATATATATACATACACACACACACACATAACTGCCGTTCAAATGTTTGGGGTCACTTAGAAATGTCCTTGTTTTCCATGAAAACATACATTAAATGAGTTAGAATAGGAAATATAGCAAAATGCATAGGAAATGTAGTCATTGACAAGGTTAGGAATAATGATTTAATTGAAATAATAATTGTGTCCTTCAAACTTTGCTTTCGTCAAAGAATCCTCCATTTGCAGCAATTACAGCCTTGCAGACCTTTGGCATTCTAGTTGTCAATTTGTTGAGGTAATCTGAAGAGATTTCACCCCATGCTTCCTGAAGCACCTCCCACAAGTTGGATTGGCTTGATGGGTACTTCTTACGTACCATACGGTCAAGCTGCTCCCACAACAGCTCAATAGGTTTGAGATCCGGTGACTGTGCTGCTCACTCCATTATAGACAGAATACCAGCTGACTGCTTCTTCCCTAAATAGTTCGGAGCTGTGCTTTGGGTCACTGTCCTGTTGTAGGAAGAAATTGGCTCCAATCAAGCGCCGTCCACAGGGTATGGCATGGCATTGCAGAATGGAGTGATATCCTTCCTTCTTCAAGATCACTTTTACCCTGTACAAATGTCCCACTTTACCACCACCAAAGCACCCCCAGACCATCACATTGCCTCCACCATGCTTGACAGATGGCATCAAGCACTCCTCCAGCATCATTTCATTTGGTCTGCGTCTCACAAATGTTCTTCTTTGTGATCCGAACACCTCAAACTTCGATTCGTCTGTCCATAACACTTTTTTCCAATCTTCCTCTGTCCAGTGTCTGTGTTCTTTTGCCCATCTTAATATTTTCTTTTTTATTGGCCAGTCTGAGATATGGCTTTTTCTTTGCAACTCTGCCTAGAAGGTCAGCATCCCGGAGTCGCATCTTCACTGTTGACGTTGAGACTGGTGTTTTGCGGGTACTATTTAATGAAGCTGGCAGTTGAGGACCAGTGAGGCGTCTGTTTCTCAAACTAGACACTAATGTATTTGTCCTCTTGCTCAGTTGTGCACCGGGGCCTCCCACTCCTCTTTCTATTCTGGTTAGAGCCAGTTTGTGCTGTTCTGTGAAGGGAGTATTACACAGCGTTGTATGAGATCTTCAGTTCCTTGGCAATTTCTCGCATGGAATAGCCTTAATTTCTCAGAACAAGAATAGACTGACGAGTTTGAGAAGAAAGTTATTTGTTTCTGGCCATTTTGAGCCTGTAAATCGAACCCACAATTGCTGATGCTCCAGATACTCAACTAGTCTCAAGAAGGCCAGTTTTATTGCTTCTTTAATCAGCACAACAGTTTTCAGCTGTGCTAACATAATTGCAAAAGGGCTTTCTAATGATCAATTAGCCTTTTAAAATGATAAACTTGGATTATCAAACACAACGTACCATTGGAACACAGGACTGATGGTTGCTGATAATGGGCCTCTGTACGCCTAGGTAGATATTCAATTACAAATCAGCCGTTTCCAGCTACAATAGCCATTTACAACATTAACAATGTCCACACTGTATTTCTGATCAATTTGATGTTATTTTAATGGATGAAAAAATTACTTTTCTTTTGAAAACAAGGACATTTCCAAGTAATATATATATATATATATATATGCAGTGCCTTCGGAAAGTATTCAAGCCCCTTGACCTTTTCCACATTTTGCTACGTTACAGCCTTATTCTAAAATGGATTAAATGTTTGAAAAATTCTCAGTAATCTACACACAATACCCCATAATGACAAAGCGAAAACCGATTTTTAAAATGTTTGCTAAATTATGACAAATAAAAACAGAAATACCTTATTTACATAACTATTCAGACCCCTTGCTATGAGACTTGAAATTGAGCTCAGGTGCATCCTGTTTCAATTGATCATCCTTGAGATGTTTCTACAACTTGATTGAGGTCCACCTGTGGTAAATTCAATTGAATGGAAATTATTTGGAAAGGCACACACCTATCTATATAAGGTCCCACAGTTGACAATGCATGTCAGAGCAAAAACCAAGCCATGAGGTCGAAGGAATTATCCGTAGAGTTCCGAGACAGGATTGTGTCGAGGCACAGGTCTGGGGAAGGGTACCAAAACATTTATGTAGCATTGAAGGTCCCCAAGAACACAGTGGACCCCATCATTCTTAAATGGAAGAAGTTTGGAGCCACCAAGGATCTTCCTAGAGCTGGCTGCCAGGCCAAACTGAGCAATCGGGGGAGAAGGGCCTTGGTCAGGGAGGTGATCAAGAACCCGATGGTCACTCTGACAGAGCTCTAGAGTTCCTCTGTGGAGATGGGAGAACTTTCCAGAAGGACAACCATCTCTGCAGCACTCCACCTATCAGGCCATTATGGTAGAGTGACCAGACAGAAGACACTCCACAGTAAAAGGCACATGACAGCCCGCTTGGAGTTTGCCAAAAGGCACCTAAAGACTCTCAGACCATCAGACCAAGATTCTCTGGTCTGATGAAACCAAGATTCAAGTCTTTGGCCTGAATGCCAAGCGTCACATCTGGAGGAAACCTGGCACCTTCCCTACGGTGAAGCATGGTGGAGGCAGCATCATGCTGTGGGAGTGTTTTTCAGTGGCAGGGACTGGGAGACTAGTCAGGATCGAGGGAAAGATGAACGGAGCAAAGTACAGAGAGATCCTTGACTGGGGCGAAGGTTCACCTTCCAACAGGACAACGACCCTAAGCACACAGCCAAGACAACGCAGGAGTTGCTTTGGGACAAGTCTCTGAATGTCCTTGAGTGGCCCAGCCAGAGCCCGAACCCATTCGACCATCTCTTGAAAGACCTGAAAATAGCTGTGCAGCAACGCTCCTCATCCAACCTGACAGAGCTTGAGAGGATCTGCAGAGAAGAATGGGAGAAACTCCCCAAATACAGGTGTGCCAAGCTTGTAGCGTCATACCCAAGAGGACTAGGCTGTAATCGCTGCCAAAGGTGCTTCAACAAAGTACTGAGTAAAGGGTCTGAATACTTATGTAAATGTGATTCCGTTTTTTGTCTTCTCTTTTTTTATGTGCAAAGATTGATAAAAACCGGTTTATGCTTTGTCATTATGGGGTATTGTGTGTAGATTGAGGGGGAAAAAACAATTTAATCCATTTAAGAATAAGGCTGTAACGTAACAAAATGTGGAAAAAGTCAAGGGTCTGAATACTTTCCGAAGGCACTGTATATATATTTTAGTTTTTTTACTCAAACCACCCGCGGACCGGATTGGACGCCCCTCGCGGGCCCCTGATTTAGACTATTGAGATGCACACATCCACACACAGGTGCATCTCAATATGAGCCTCTTACCTCGATGGCTTTCTGGTAGATAGCTCTGGTGTAGGTAACTCCGTAGATCTCTGCAGCCCTCTTGATGTAGATGTTGAACATGTGATGCCTCTCCGTTTTGTCCACCGCCTGCGTGGCTCTCTCGTACACCGCCATTGCGTGACGCGCCAACCCAAACTCCTCCTCCAGTTTGGCGTACAGCAGGTAGATGGCTGTCAATCACAACAGAAAATAGTTCACGTATCGCTCGTCATTCCTGTAGCTGGGGGGGATAGTACCACATCAATAAGAGGCCCTTATTACAAATAGATACCAGCAGCAAACTGATTATAAAAACTAACTGAGGCTGAAAGATCCTTGAACACCCTTTTCATACTATAATGCCAACCTGAACCGTACTGAGCTCGGTCATGGTCTTTTAACATCTGTCCTTCCCAGCACGGTGGATGGGTAACCAGGCCAGCACAATACAGTCCAGTTTGGCTTGGTAGTGTGAAAAGGATAGTATCTTCCTTGGTGCTTCTCAGTGGCTACAAAGCAACCATGATGACGATTACTTTATTGTATCCGTCTGAAAATTATTTTTGCATCGTACAGCATGTCAGCTTAGACAGACATGCAAAACGTAACAAACATGCATAAGAAATACAGAAGTCACGTAGACAACAATGTCCCTTACTCTTGGCGAACTTGGCTGGACAGCCGTCCAGCGCCTGCTCAAACAGGTCCCGGGCCCTCTCCAGCTTCGTGCCCCCGTAGCGGTCGATGAACTTGGTAAGGTACGTGTTCCAGATGTCATAGACGTTGGGCCACCTGAAGAGGGCGATGCCACGCTCGTACGCCTGCAGAGAGCGCATGGAGACCGTCAGCAACAGGGATTTACAACTGATCAAAATGCTGTAGTTTTAAGGGTGAAGGCATGGTCAGGGTCGTGTTCAGTAGGGCACTCGGCCCCGAACATGACCCAGTTGTAAAGTAACAGTTTGAATGCAGTATGAGTTACTGTTGTTATGCTAGGCTGTGAAATGTTAAGACTGGTCCCAGTTCAGGCATCGTGACAATGACCATAAGAGTTGTCAAGACAGCACAACAGAACTGGGACCAGGCTAGTGAGATATGTTCAGCAGGGCAAGTGGGTGGTGTCACCTTGAAACTCTCCTCAAAGTAGTTGTGCTCCTCCAGGAACATGGCGTAGTTGATAATTATCTGGGGCGTGGCAATGCGCAGGTCAATGATGCGGTCGTACACCGCCTTGGTGGACTGACGGGGAAAAAACGACCAAGACAAAAGGTAGGGTCGTTAGTTACATCGTATGGTCGTTGTTGTTACATGTTTTGGTTGTTTCATTGTTTGGTCCCTTAAACTAGGTAATCACTATGCACAAAACGCATTTTCAGTTTCTCCTATTCTAACAAGATTTCATCTGAGAGAAGAAGAAGAGCTCATGGAATACACCAACCATATAAACCTAACCAATGTTAATCATTCCAACTCAGAAACCATGATGAAGGCTGCTTGCTGCCCAAATGTTGGTTGACTATTATTAGGCTGCGTATACACAGTCAGCCCAATTCTAATATTTTGACCAATAAGATCAGATCTTTTGCCAATAATGGGGCAAAAGATCTGATTTGGGCTACCTGATGTGTTGCATCAAAGCTACCTTCATTTTCCTTTCTAAATCAGTGCAACACAACAAAGACAGACACAGTAGAGGGAAACACGAAGAAAGTACCTGGAAGGTTCCCATACTCTCCTCCAGGTCAGCCAACATGGACCAGACCTTCAGAGACTTGTACACTCTGTTCTGCACTGGCTCTGACACGTCAAAGTACTCAGCCTTTTTGGACGGGATGGCAGTTGCTTTCTACACATTTGGAAAGAGAGAAAGTCAAGGGATATTTACACAGACATGCATCCAGTATTTTTTAATCCCCCCGTAACTATTCCCCAGATCGTTGCTGTAAATGAGAATGTGTTCAGTCAACCTAACTGGTAAAATAAGGGTAAAATAAAAATACATAAATAATTAGCATCTATAGACAGAATATTTGAAACCCTGAGAAGAGCACTCTGCATCACAGAATTTGAGATTAGATGAGGGTATTCATTGATTGATTGAAGTTATTAAATAGATACATTAAAAACGCAAGTACAGGTCAGCCGCCCACACAGAAATGTGTAGCAGTTGTTAACGCATTAAAAATCATTCAGGATGACAGAAAAGTCAAAGATGTAAGTGTCTTTGGAGTGTGTGGCAGATAGTGGGTCAGTATTTGTTGTGCCCGTGTCTCCTTCTCACCCGCAGTATACGTAGCGCCTGTTCGTAGTTCTCATGGCGTAGCTCCATCTCTCCGTATTCACACCACACGCCAGCCAGGTCGTCAACCTGCTTGTAGTTCACCTTGGTGGCCTTCTCAAAGATGGTCCGCGCCTGATGGTGGGGAAAAGTGGAAAAAGAGAAAGAACATTACAAAAATAAATATCTAACTTAACTTCTTGGGTTTAAGGAGTAAATCTATGTTGTTGTTACACTAAGTAGGGAGAAGACCTGGGTAAATCATTTACTGCGCTTGATTTGAGCTTGCTTGGCGAGCTTGCAATGAAACCAATGGAATAATCCCAAAAGAGCCAATTCTACCCATCTGACACTCCAGGCAGGCTCAAATGAACAAAGTATTTGAAAGATTTAAAATACGATTTCAACCCACGTGTGATGGGGGAACCTTAGTTTGAGACGTGATGGGGAAACCTTAGTTTGAGACGTGATGGGGAACCTTAGTTTGAGACGTGATGGGGAAACCTTAGTTTGAGGACGTGATGGGGAAACCTTAGTTTGAGACGTGATGGGGAAACCTTAGTTTGAGACGTGATGGGGAAACCTTAGTTTGAGACGTGATGGGGAAACCTTAGTTTGAGACGTGATGGGGGAACCTTAGTTTGAGACGTGATGGGGGAACCTTAGTTTGAGACGTGATGGGGGGAACCTTAGTTTGAGACGTGATGGGGGGAACCTTAGTTTGAGACGTGATGGGGGAACCTTAGTTTGAGACGTGATGGGGGAACCTTAGTTTGAGACGTGATGGGGGAACCTTAGTTTGAGACGTGATGGGGGAACCTTAGTTTGAGACGTGATGGGGGAACCTTAGTTTGAGACGTGATGGGGGAACCTTAGTTTGAGACGTGATGGGGGAACCTTAGTTTGAGACGTGATGGGGGAACCTTAGTTTGAGACGTGATGGGGGAACCTTAGTTTTGAGACGTGATGGGGAACCTTAGTTTTGAGACGTGATGGGGAAACCTTAGTTTGAGACATGATGGGGAAACCTTAGTTTGAGACGTGATGGGGGAACCTTAGTTTGAGACGTGATGGGGAAACCTTAGTTTGAGACGTGAGGGGGAACCTTAGTTTGAGCCGTGATGGGGGAAACCTTAGTTTGAGACGTGATGGGGGAAAGCTTAGTTTGAGACGTGATGGGGGAAACCTTAGTTTGAGACGTGATGGGGGAATCTTAGTTTGAGACTCACGTCGTCTAGCTGCTCGTTCTCCTCGTAGAACTTGGCGAAGGAGACCCAGAGAGAGCTGGGTTTCCCAGTAGCCTTCATAGGGTCCACAGTCTGAACTGCCTCTGTGTAGGTGTTGATGATCTGAAAGAGAGGTTACGACACACATTCTATACACTGTACATGTATGTGAGGAAGAGCATGCAAGGTACCTATTGCCGGCTAGAAAGACTAAGAAACAATGTTAAATGTGAAATCTGTAAACATGTATTAAATCACTACTCTCTACCAATAATACAGATGTAAACTAGCTCGGTAAAGAAATGTTTTCCCAGGATTCTTTCTCAAACCCTTTCACATTATCATGCCGGCCTGAACCGTACTGCGCTGGCTCGGATATTTTCATTTCACATCACGGTTCCAGCTACAACAGTGGATGCGGAACCAGGCCAGCGCAGTACACCTTGGTTCAGTAGTATAAAATGGGTATTAGAGACCGAGCCAGAAAGATGGCACAGAGTCAGACTTGGGCTAAGAGCTCAGGGCCTGTATCCACAAAGGGTCTCAGAGTAGGAGTGCTGATCTAGGATCTAAAAGGTGAAATTGATCCTGGATCAGCACTCCTACTACATGCCCACTTCTGGTGTCTTCTGCTACCTGTCGTGGTTTCCCCTCGTACAGTTTGACCCTCTTATGCCACTCGTGGACGTTGTGGGGGTTCTGTCTCAGCAGCACACTGTTCAGCAGGAGGGGCCTGCGGGCGATCAGCTGCTCAAAGCGGGCCAGACGCAGCTCCAGGTCTATGTCCTCTGAGAGGGAAAACAAGTTGAGCATGACGGCAAAGCATTCACTTACGGCTGTGACACACTGGGTGCATCTCAATACTCTAAAAGGGCTTGCTTCCCTAGACTACTTTCCTTCAGTTACATTCATGTTGTGTTATGTTGAAGGAACTAGCGCACAAGCATTTCGCTGCACCTTTTATACCGGCTGTAAACTGTGTATGTGACGAATAACATTTGATTTAGTTAGATTTTTTACTCAGTCGCAGCCAGGATTGGGAAAACAGTAACATGGATGCCTAGGCCAGGAATCGATTTCCCTTAATACAGTTATTTGAGATCCGAGCAGGAGACGAGGAGAGTGAGACCTTTAGACTATTGAGATGCACCCACCTTCTTCATCTTTCCCCAGCTCGGAGGTAGTCTCCATCTTGGCAGCGATCATGCTCTCCTCAAACTGGGCGTAGCTGTCGAACACCTGGGTGAAATCTCTCACCGTCACCACCGTCAAGATGGCCTCCTCATACACATCACGAGCCTGGTGGGCCACAACACACAAGCACTCAAATTAGTCTGTGTGTGTGTGCATCCCAAAAACGCTGAATATATTTGGTAACACTTTACTTGAACTACATAACAACGTCGTAAAGTTTCATAACATGCATGATAGCTAGTCAAAACTTGTCAAATATATATTATGACAACGTTATGGTGGTGAGTTACCCTATAATCCTCCATCACTTCTAATGACCCTGATGCATGACGACAAAGTCAAAAGTGGACTATAAAGACCACATTGTCTATAGGGCTCTGGTCAAAAGTAGTGCACTACAAAGAGAATAGGGTGCCATTTGGGACGCATCAATCCAGACCAGTACCTTTTCAAAATGTCCACTGCGGATGTAGTAGTCAGCCAGGGAGCACCAGAGTTTGCCCAGCTGGTCTGTGAAGCGAGTGAGGCCTCCACGGATGATGGCCCCAACATTCAGAGAGTTCACCTTGTCTGGGTTCTGAGAGATCAGGTCACACAGCTCGTGCCATAGCTGTTAGATATTAACCATACAACATGGGGATAACGTTAGATATCAACCACACTACAACATGGGGATAACGTTAGATATCAACCACACAACAACATGGGGATAACGTTAGATATCAACCACACTACAACATGGGGATAACGTTAGATATCAACCACACAACATGGGGATAACGTTAGATATCAACCACACACAACATGGGGATAACGTTAGATATCAACCACACAACAACATGGGGATAACGTTAGATATCAACCACACTACAACATGGGGATAACGTTAGATATCAACCACACTACAACATGGGGATAACGTTAGATATCAACCACACTACAACATGGGGATAACGTTAGATATCAACCACACTACAACATGGGGATAACGTTAGATATCAACCACACTACAACATGGGGATAACGTTAGATATCAACCACACAACAACATGGGGATAACGTTAGATATCAACCACACAACAACATGGGGATAACGTTAGATATCAACCACACTACAACATGGGGATAAGGAGGATGAGCCAGACGTGGCCTTACCTGGTAGTTAGACTTGCCCTCCTTGGACACAAAACTCTCATCGTTGACAACGGCTGCCAGACGCACTGCAGCTTCATCCAGCTTACCGCAGGAATGCAGGTAATCTATGTACTCCTCTGCATTCTCTGGGGACAGCTGCAGAGAAAGAGGGGGAGAGAGTCAAAACCAAGGGGACTGTTCCAGAAATAACGTCATCATTTTGAGAAATATAGACTTTTGGCACGGTAAAATGTACTTGACAACCAATATATAAATGTAGCTTTCTTAATCAACCATGTATGTAATAATTCTGGAATACCACACTGCTGCTTGTGTAGAAGACTAGAAAACGTATTAAGCAGAGAGAAAATGTATTGAACGCATGTATATTGTACTGTCCGTGTCCTTCAAATAATTACAAGGACTAAATACATCTCTAGGGTTATCAGGGTAATGTATACAGGTCATTCTAATATGAACCCTAGAGGTCAGAGGTCTCTTGACCCACATTTTCCAAAAATGTTTCAGATTTCTAATGATATATGATTTGTAGATAGCACACACAAAGCTACCATTGCTGCACAATATCCCACATTATGCAAATCTAAGGACACTGCCAGTAAGTAAGCTTTGTCCAAGCCAGAACAGCCCACTCTAGGTACAAAATCACTGAGACATTGTGGCCCCAGATGGGTCTGACTTATGGACTATACGGTTGAATAAATAACTATAAAACCAACAATACAAGGACTAACTTCCAGTGAACTGGATCGTGTCAAACCTGGCTGTATAAAAATAAGCGGAGAAAACTCTGGAATCAAAACAGGTTAGGCCTACTCAGAACCAATCCAGGTTACTCAGAGAGGTATCAGAACCCAGGTGAAGAATGAAGAATAGTGCATTTCTGCTGGTGTCCCTGTGCGGCTGTCTGTCTGTGGCACAGCAGGACACCCCCATGACTGAACATGAGGTGGCATGTGCTACAGAACTACAGAACTCCTGCTACATGTCGACCCTGATTACAGAATTCGGAGTCGTGGAGGAGAAACTGCAAACCACTGTGGAAAAACTGCAAACCACGGTGGAAAAAACTGCAAACCACGGTGGAAAAACTAGGAGCCATGGAAACCAAGCTAAAAGTCAGTGTGAGCCAGCTTGAGGAACGGAGAAATAAAGAGAAGATAAAGGTGCTCTTCTCCACTGTCCTGGGAGAGACTGGAAAAATAGGGCCCTTCAGCCAAGAAACTCCCCTGACCTACAGCAAGGTCATCACTAACATTGGCAGAGCCTATGGAGTGTTTACAGCCCCTGTAAGAAGGGTCTACTACTTCAGCTTCTTCTTTCATGCTGGAGGATCTGAAGCCTCCCACACATCCCTATTCAAGAATGGAGAGTGTATGGCTATCACATCTGATCACAAGTCTAGTACTGATACAGCAGATAACAGGGGTAATGCAGTCAGTCTACAGCTGGAGGTGGGAGATCAGGTCTACATACGCCTAAGGGCCAATGCACACGTGTGAGCGGCATATAGCCTACTTTCACAGCAGTATCCAGTTTCACACATTTATTGGTAGCACTGTCATCTAATTCAGGCCTACCTTCTATGTTAAGTGATATCTTGTAGGTTTCTGATGGGATGTGTTGTTGTTATAATCTCATACCAAAGACATTCTTATCACCATTGTTGAAAATAAATAAAGTGTTTATTAATCTGAATTCTGATTTGTTTCATTTATTTTTTTTATCCTGTGACCATCTTCCATAAAGAGAGGCTTCAGTGGCTTCAGCTTTGGAAGTAGCTCAATCACAGAGGAGCAAATCTTCTCAAAATGTCCCCTTACCTTGAGGTACCTGCGATAGACACGGATGGCGGTCTCAGGCAGGGGCAGGTTCCGGGCAAAGCGGAGGTACAGGGGCCAGATGCGAGGGTGCTGAGTGACGGGCAGGGCTCGGAGTGCTCGGTCAAACGTGCGTCTGCTCCTGGTGATCTTACATTGAGACACCAGGAACTGGCAGTAGTCCAGCCATATCCTCGGCATCTAGGACAGCCAGGGGAAGAACAAGTTATGTGGGATACTGTTCCTACAATCTCAGACCACAAAATCTACTTCCAAGTGAAAATACTCTCACACATAAATGCACTCTGTGATAGTCTGTCTCTTAACAGTGGTACCCAGTGGCAATGATATTCCCCAGAGTTTGTGGGAGTATTTTATCTTAATAGGGGATGGACGGACAACAGGAAATGTAGGTTAATAAGTATTAGCCTACCTTGTGCATGAAAACCAGTGCTCTTTCATGGCAGTTGTTGATCTCCTCGTAGGCTGGCTCCGTGATGCACTTCCCTTTGACCTGTTTCCGTCTCTCTCTCAGATAGTTGTACCATAACTTGTAACTGCAAGGTCACGTATGAACAATCCGTGAACACACAGTCATGACATTTAGCATTGCCTAAAAACCTAGCCCAGACACTGGTATGCTATTCAATAACAACCAGTCTACGGTTTTCAAATAAGCCTAGATTATGGGCCGGTTTCCCAGAGACTGATTGACAAAGGTTTTTAGTCCAGGACTAGGTTTAAGATTTGTCTAAACATCAGACTGTTACCATGGTTGCTCCATGGATATCAGTCTGAAATGTTGAATACAATGATATTTAAAGATACTTTACTGGTCGTCCATGCTGTTGGTTATTTTGGCGGTAGGAAGTGGAGATCGGGTAACCACAGGAAAGTGTTGTTTACCTGACTTTTTGCGGCGCCGGTAGGTTTTGGTGCTTGTATTTTCCATCTCTACGCATTTCACGACTCACAATATGTCAACAATAGCCGAATGTAACCGAATGTTGTCGACCAAAGCGCATTCCCTCGCAATCAGCTGGAAGCGCTTTTGAAATTTGCCAGCTGTTTGCGTGGGACAACGTTTGGTCTGTGCGTCGGTTAAACTCGGCCATTGTTGACATATTGTGTAAGTCTTGTGCAAATTGTGTCAGCATTGAAAATACAAACCGACATACAGACCAGCATACTGAAAGTCGGGTTAATAACACTCCTCTGTGGATATTTTGTCTCAGATTACCTTCTACACTAGGACAAAATCAGCAGACAACAGGTAAAGTACGTTCAAATGAAGTTTATTCAACAGTCTGACTTGTGATGGGACTGTTCACAAAAAGTGAGCCTACATGTTAGAGACTAGAGAGGAGTCTTCCACCGGCCCTATATGTGCAACAGTAACTGTCTGTGAACACGTTCCTGTCCCAGACCAAAAAAATGTGTCTGGGACACTACAGTATTTTCCATGAACCTTTAGCAGTGTTTTCCTATCCTGGCCCTGGGGACCCAGGGGGGTGTATTTTTGGGCAAAAACAAAACTATGCACGGCACCCCTTTGGTTCCCCAGGACCATGATTGGGAAACACTGCATCTAGCTAGATGTAGAAACGTTGCTTCTACCTGCCAGGTAGCTCTTTCAGAGCTCGTTCATAGATCATGTTGAGGATGGACTTGGCGCCGTTCTGTTTGAATTCGATGTAGCGCATCCAGCACTTGACCGAGTACGGATTCCTGATGATCTCCTCCTCATAAGGCAGGTCATCTTCCTCCTGAAAAAGCCCACCACCAACACAGCAAACGGTCAACAGGAGGCCTAACAGTAGCCTCCTCTCCTTCGAACAACCTTACACACTTTTCTCTCCTTCGAAAAACGTTACACTATTCTCAGAACTAGTGCAACATTGTTCGAAGGATAGAAAGGGCTACGAGAGGCTGTAAATTCACACACAGTAGCCTGTACAGTATCTCAAGGAACGATCATCTAGATATGTTGTCAGATAGATATGGATTGTCGGGAATTCAAATCGACACAGCCGAGGAGGCCGCGGAAATATTACAACATGCTGAGAACAATTCTACAACAAAATATCAATATTCATGAAATAACTTACAAACAGGACGTCCGGTTTCCCATTTAGAGACGGCATTTTTGTTTTAAATACCAAAACAACGCAGTGTCAAAGGTTCCCACAAATGTATGTATCGTTACTAAACTTCCTGACTCCTCCAACGTGTTCAGAACGTAGAATACATCCCGCCCCTTGTGGAAATATCATTGGGTAGTACAACCGTCACTTAACAGATCATTAGTCATCGAAGACAACATTTAATGTTCCAGCCCAGCAGGTGGCGACAGTGCAAAATGTGATAGGCTCGTGCATGGCCAAAACTAAGGTGAAAGGTTACCAAAACGCCGACAAACACGCTAGCTAGCTAGCCAGCCAGCCTCGTAGGCTACTTGGATTCTCTAAAATGGCTAAAATACAGTTGTTGAGAGTGTTTCTCAACCAGCGTTTAACAGCAGCTGCAGAGGAGATATTTGGGGCTGTTGCGAAAACGATAGCAGAGTACCAGGAAGAAGTTTATCGTTCAAAAGAGGAGAACGGCCGTCTACAGAGGCAGCTTGATATCGTTCTCAAACCACCAGAGATACAATTACATAGGACAGGTTTGTCACTAGCTATTACGTTTGACCTGTTTACGTTAATATTATGCGACATTGGCAATCTTATTTTATTAAATTTGAGCACGAAACACATCATGTCTTGCTGAAAGACATATTTTGTATTATGTTTCATTCATATAAATGTAATTATTTTCTCATCATGTCAGCTTTGATATTTTGGTTTAATCGTTTCTCCTTCTCTCCAGACCTCCATCAGCTCTCTCTCACTGTCTTCGAAGAGGAGGTTCCCCCTGAGCAGCAACACTGTGAGCAGGAGTGGAGCCCCAGTCTGGGGCAAGAAGACCCAGAGCCCAAATAGATTAAAGAGCAACAACAGGAGCAACACAGGACCAGTCAGGAGGAAGAGTTTCATAATTACTTCTTCATAATTAGGTCAAATGACCGTGTGAAAAGTGACTATGATCAGGAAGAGGACTCATGTCAGCCCTCACATCTTTACCAAACCCAAAGTGAGGAATATGAACAGGGAGCCTCTCTACCTAGCACCTAATTGGAACAGATCAAAGCTGAACCTGATGTAGAGGGCTACATAGTATTAGAACTAAGGAGTGACTCTCAGCCCCTCTCTGCAGTAAATCCAGACTGTTCTCCAACCCCAAGTGAATACAGGGAAGGTGTCAATGAAGAGGAAAAATAACCTTGGATTAGGTTTAAAGCACTCAAATCAAAGAAAGCACAGAAAATAACAAGCCAAAGCTCCGGTATCTGGAAAAAAGGAAGGAAATCCACAGAGTCATCCCATCTGAACCCACACAGTCAACGCCTTACTGCTCCCTGTTGGTGTGGTGTGTGTGGAAATAAATGTTACTCTGTGAGTTTTTTAATAAAACATACACAAGAACACACAGAGGATATAGACCTAGATTGCCTTTGCGGTGTCTGTGGAAAACACTTTGAGTCCAAAGAAATTCTGATAGACCATCTCCAAACTCACATGAAAAATATTTTTTGTCACTTATGTGGTCAATGTTTCAACTGGACTAGTAATCTGAAAAGACATATGATGATTCACACAGGGGAAAGACCCCATCGGTGCAGTGACTGTGGCAAAGGCTTCAGGTCGAGTGATTGTCTGACAAAGCATAGGAGGATTCACACAGGGGACAAACTATTTCCTTGCCCGGTTTGCCACCGTGGTTTTAACAGACGAGATAACCTGAAAGTGCATATGAGAGTTCACACATGGGAGAGACCGTATATGTGTTCTGAATGCTACAAATGTTTTGCCACGTTAACTTCCCTGAATAAGCACCAGACAATGCACAATGAGGAACGACCATATGTGTGCACTGATTGCGGTATGCGCTTCAAAGCGCTTGAATCCCAAAGAAGGCACATGAAGAGTGTTCACAACAAGAAGGAGAATACAACATGACAGTGCCTTGTATGGGTTACGGTAACAGATAGTAGATGGAGGCACATTCTAACCAAATTGTAACTGCCATTGGACAGGAGAACAGCCCTTCAGGACAGATGCATTGCATTATGGAATCAGCGCAGTAGTTACCGTTACTTGTTAGTTACCATTAGCCGTTAGTTCGTTTACCAACCGCAAATAGCAGACATCAGAGGTAATTTATGTGCCTGTGTTTTATAAAGCAGCAGATTCTGTAACTTGTTGACAGCCGAGCTTACTAAATCCACCGTGGGACGCATTTAATTGACTGGCAGACTGGATCCGGCCTAACCCAAATCCAGGCCTGTGCAAACCCGACCACAGAACTGATCTGTATAGATTAGATCTAATGTTGACCTGTTATGATTGGAATGAAAATAATCTTCTCAACAATAAAGTTTGCATTTTTGTTCTCAATCTCAACTAGTCGTTCATTTGTGTGCTATTCTGCTTTTCTCCATTCCCATTGGTGATTGAGAGACTTCCATGGTATGTTTGGCCTTTGACTGTGATGCTGCAGACTGAACCTACGCTACTATCTGCAAGGTTCTGAACATTTTACATGACTGAATACATTCTAGGCCATTCTTCAAAAAGGACTCGGCATGAATTCAAAATTCATCAACGAGAAGCAATATAATTTCAACCAATCATGTATTTTTTATTGGATAGCTATTAACAAGAATTACACTGACAACTTCGTGCTGTTCAAAACAAGAAGTTTCACATAATGCTGCATTCTCGCCTGCAGCTCAGTATAAAATACATAAATTGGCTGAAAAATATGACTATACAGTATATCACATATTACATACAACATTTGCAAGAGATTTGAGATTCTGATACGGTGGTGCTGTTCCAGGTATTCCGTTTTATCAATGGGGATGCACATCTCGGAAGATAAAAACACATAGGAACACTTCACCAGGCTTTATGAGATCTGATCATCTGTGCAACATGACTGCAATAAACACGACCTGGAACGGACCCATTTTCCACACTAACTTCACCTCCCTGAGCATGACAAAGTTGTCAGGAATTGCTTGGCTCATTTCACTTTCACACAAAGACAAACAGAAACAACAATAACAGACAATGATAAATAAACAACAAAAAACAATGAACAAAGATTGTATTTATATCAACCCCTGCAAAAACAACTTGCAATCTGTCATCTCTGTACTGCAGCTCAACCTATTGCATCTCCAGATATTCCACATTTTTGATCGCCAACTATCTTTTCCTGTCTCCCTCCTTCCTGTCTTTCCTTCCTTGATCCTCTTTTCCCGTTCCCTTCCCTAGATCTCCTCTCCCCTTCTCCCCCGCTAGTCCCAGACCCTTTTGGAGTTGTGCACTGTCGGCTCTGGATCAGGTAGAAATAGTCTTCATCTGGGCTTATGGGGCTGGTCACGGGAGGCGTACGGCTAGGGGACTGGTGCCTCTGTGCTCCCCGATGAGGAGACACCGGTCTTGGTTGAGGATCTCTCTGTGCTCCCATGTGAGGTGTGGCCGGTCTGGAGTGTGGCTGTCTGGATCCTCCAGCTGGGTTAGGAGAGGAGGGTCTGGAGTGGGGCTGCCTAGGGGAATCCCGGTGAGGGGATGAGGGTCCAGAGATATAGTCCTCCTTGGGGACCAGGTTGAGGTTGTGGGATAGGGGTCTTCCTGGGGTTAGGCTCAGAGTGACCACCAGAGCTTCTCCTGGGGGTTCCAAATCGAGGAACATTTCTGGTAAGGAGCATGGCAGTTGGTTGTCGGCCTTGCGTCCCTGAGTGACAGAAACTGAAAACTAATTGTAATGTGAATTCTATTGCATTCTTAGTTTTATAATTGCATTCTGTAACTGCCTTTATGAGTTCCCAAATGAGTAATCAACACAGTCTTGTTGGGTGACGTTTTACTTGTTGACCCCAATACTGACATACTGTATGACCACACTCTTCAAACAAGCAGACTGTCACCAACATCATGCATACGCTTACCTGTTGTGGAGTGAAGCACATGTACAACCGCAATGTTACCTTCAGGGAGAAAATATCACTGTTATTGTCATTAAAAAACAATACAGACAACAATACAGCTATTCTTTCAGAGTTCAAGCGTTGAGTAAAGCAAGCATAGAATAAACTGATTTAATCATGCTTTAAAAATACAAGCGCCTGATGGTAGGAATTTATAAGAAGCCACGTGAACAAATGAACATGCATCCATAATCAATAGACATCTGTTTATCAAAATGAGAATGAAAATATATAATGAAAATGAAATATAAAATATTGTGGTCCTCTGTAGCTCAATTGGTAGAGCATGGCGCTTGTAACGCCAGGGTAGTGGGTTCGATCCCCGGGACCACCCATACGTGAAAATGTATGCACACATGACTGTAAGTCGCTTTGGATAAAACCGTCTGCTAAATGGCGTATTATTATTATAAGAAAACATGAATATATTTATTTGAGCTCAGCTGTTGCATAGTGACTTGCCTACCTACCACACATATGAATACCTCTGTATCTGTTTTCTTTTTTGTTTCAAATTTGTATGTTTTTCCTTCATGTGATGTTAACCCACAAAAGCAATAAACATTTCAAGTGAATATATTTACTTGAGCTGGGGGATCCTGCATGGTCTTGTAGTCAGAGCCAGGGTTGAAGGACGCTGATCTTGGTGGATCTCTCTGGGAGTCTGCTGGTTCAGGAATGGCCTGTGAGGGAGAATCTGGTCTAGAGTAGGCCTTCCTGAGTGTGAGTGGAGTCCCTTCAGTCAGGATGATCTTTTATTTTGGGGGGGTATTTTATGGGGGGTGGCACATCTACCTTGGAGCCCTGACAGAAAATACAGAGGATGGATTACATCATTAACACATCACTGCTGTTGCTTTATGCTCTAACCTAGGGGTCAGACGTTTTTTCTGTAAAAGAGAATATGTATAATTAAATTGAGGGTAAATTGTCATAATAAAACATATTTGGTAGTGGAATAACATTTGGGGAAATCGGGTCTAGACATAATTTTTTGGTGGTGTATTTAATATGGTTCCTGGGGGGAAAAGAACCCCTGCTCTACAGAGTAAGTTCTAGATTGTTCCAGAATTCCAAATGAAGCATAGCACCTACTCCCTTGGCACTCCTGTGTATGTGAGAGGATTTGACAGGTTTTTCATGTTGTTTTTTCTGGGGACAATTGTATGGTTAAATAGTACAAACATTTCTAAAAACCTGTTTTTACTTCGTCATTATGGGGTATTGTGTGTAGATTGATGAGGGAAAAAAATAATTGAATCAATTTTAGAATAAGGCTGTAACGTAACAAAATGTGGAAAAAGTCAAGGGGTCTGAATACTTTCCGAATGCACTGTTTCTGAATTTTCAGTACAGTACCACCCTTAACGGCATCATAAAACCCCAGAAACATCCGGTTTTCAGTGATAGAGTATCTTCAACCTAGCTTCCTTTTCCCCTGAAAACCAGATGTGAGGACCCCGCTCAGACATTTCTTTAATGCCTGCTACGTTAGGTTGGTACAGTACTGACCTGAGGGTTTAGTAGTGGTGTGTTTGGGGGAGTGGTCCCGGTAGGGTTCAAGACACAGCGTTGCTCTTCCATATGACCACGTTGGACGTGACTCATCACGGTGAGGAACTTGTCCTGCTCAGCTGGTGCAATCTCCTATAGAGGGAAAACAGTCATAGAGTGAGCAAAATATTGTGTGTGTGTGTGTGTGTGTGTGTGTGTGTGTGTGTGTGTGTGTGTGTGTGCACGCATGCATGTCGCGGGGTTACTAAGAATAATTTACAGCAACAACAAAAAAAATCTGTTTCAATGGACAATAAACCACTATTATCATAATGGAGTTAGTTAGATAGGTATTTACTGTTTGACCCTGACTGACCTGTGTGGAGGCTGGGGTGAGGGAGGGAGACCTCTGGGCTGACCCAGGAAGGGGTGGGGGAGTGAGGTCTGGAGTAGGCCCTCCTCGGGGGAGCAAGGGAACCAAGGCTCTGGAGGATGTGAGTGGCAGAACACCTCTGTTCATCCATCCGGGAACCCTTAAAGAAAACATATGTTATAAATAATATTTATTATTTTGTATATACGAACAATATCAATATGAACCTTTTCATCATCACAATTTGGTACTACTGATAGGCTAAATACTGATACATGCTGGCAGATATAGAGTCCGAAATGGCACCCGAGTGCAGTACTTTTGACTGAAGACTGTTTCAACTTGAATATGTCCCTCTGATACAGATAAGATATCTTAATTTGACCCTGCTTCTCACAGCAGGAAAATAATCCTGTAGCAACAGGAAATGTGAATTATTATTTGGATTATAATTATTGGACATTTTTGTAGGGGTTAATACATATTCCGTTAGGGCAAATCAAGTATGACATTTTAAAGTGGAAATGACAAACTTTAGAAGCCTTTTAAAACCTTGAATTCACTACAATTTGCATTTTCTGCTGCGCAGGGAAATTATCTGCGACAACAGAGTGATCAAATTAAGATAGCAGATCTGTAATATCTGAGACCTACCTGGACCTTGGAAACCATGTAACAATCCTATCCAGCTGTAGTTTCACTAACTTCACTAATGGTTAAATAGCCTCACTAGGTTCAAAATCTGTGAGAGAAAGCCAGTGCGCAGAAGTGATCAAACACAGTCAAGCCTACACAAAATAATATAATTGCCTTGGTGATTTAAAAAAAACATTTTTAGTCATTTAGCAGACACTCTGGCGACTTACAGGAGCAATTAGGGTTAAGTGCCTTGCTCAAGGGCACATCGACAGATTTTTCACCTAGTCGGCTCGGGGATTAGAACCAGCGACCTTTCGGTTACTGGCACAACGCTCTTACCCACTAAGCTACCTGCCGCCCGTGATGATAAGGACATGGGGCATTTGTTATTGATATGTAATGCAGTCAAATATTTTTCCCCAGGCAATTTTGACCCAGGCATTGTGTGGCATGCT